GTGATGGGTATTGAGGAGGGCACCTTTTGGGATGAGCACTGGGTGTTGTATGGAAACCAATTTGACAATAAACTTCATATATTGAATAAATAAATAAATAAATAAATAAATAAATAAGTCATTCCTTGTAGAATGTTCAAGAATTATATTCAATTTTGTTATGAAAATCCTACAAAGGTGAGTTTTGTTTAATGGGAGTTATTGTTTAATGGGTATAGAATTTTCATTTGGAATGATGAAAAAGCTCTAGAAATGGACAGCAATGATAGTCACAAAACAATATAAGTATACTGGATGCCACTGTGTACCTAACAGTAGATCTTTTGTAACCCTTCCTCTTTCTCCTCTTTGCTACCCTACCTGACCAAGCAACCACTGACAGGCTTTCTGTTTCTCACATCAGTTTGTATTTCCTAGAATTTTATGTAAATAGAACCATACCTTGTGTATTCCATTTTAACTGGCTTCTTTCACTAAGCAAAATTACTCTGAGATTCAACCATGTGGTAGCATATATCAATAGTTCATTTCTTTGTATTGCTGAGTAGTATTGTATGGTAAGGATATATCACAGTGTACATATCCATTCCCTTGTTGAATATTTGGGTTTTTAGTTTTTGGCTATTGGAAGTAAAGCTGTATGAATATTCATGTGCAAGCCTTTTTATGGACATATGCTTTCATTTCTCACAGATAAATAAGAATAGAATGGGTGGGTTATATGAAAGGTATATGTTTAATTTTTTAAGAAATTGCTAAATTTTTCCGGAGTGATTGTAGCACCTTGCATTCCCATCAGCAAGATGGGGCACCTGGGTGGCTCAGTCAGTTAAGCCTCTGACTCTTGATGTCAGCTTAGATTATGATCTCACAGTTCGTGGGTTTGAGCCCCACGTCAGGCTTTGCTCTGGCAGCACGAAGAGCCTGCTTGGAATTCTCTTTCTCCTCTCTCTCTGCCCTCCCACCTGCTAGTGTATGTGCGTGCACTTTATCTCCCTCTCTCAAAATAAATAAATAAACTTTTAAAAATTAAAAGAGAGAGAGAGAGAGGTTCCAGTTATTCTATATCCTCACCAACACTTGGTATGATCAATCTTTTTAAGTTTAGCCATTCTAATAGGTGGTATCTCACTATAGTTTTAATTTTAACTAAATTAAGTGAATTAAAAAAATTAACGTGCCTGTCATCTGTGTATCTTTCTCGTCAAGTGTTTGTTCAATGTTTTGCCCATATTTTGTGTTTTAACTTATCCCTCCCAGGATGGATTTAGAAAATCCCGACCGACTTCCAGCAATAGAATGTGTCAGCAAGGTTTAAGTAAAATTTCACATTACAAAATAACTTCCAGGGTGTGTCTCAGCAATCCTAAGCATTTTAGCTGGAACCACCTTTAATATGCAGAACACTTTGAACTGAAATAAATGCTCTTAAGTCAATGCAACCTTTCCAAATTCCCACGTTGAGCAGTTGGGGGGAAGTTGTAAGAAAAGATTCTTTCACAGATACAAATCTGTAGATCATATTGTCACGTATCGTGCCACCGGAACGATCGTAACAAATGTTTTGGAGAATACATCCTATACATCCACAATACAGAAGTACAAAGAACTATGAAGGCATCAGTCAGTTGTATGAAAGGCAGAGGGCTAGAAGGCTCAGAGGAGGCTAAGACTTCAGCACCTAGTATGTACTAATCAGTATTAGCAATGGATGATGGGCAGTGAAATCTTATAATTTATCACCCAAATAGGGACGCTTTTGAGAGTGAAATGTGGTACTACTAATATTTTTTGTCTCATCCAGTCCCGGTAAGTCTCCTTAGTAGCATTCCTTTTCACTCTCAAAAGTGTCCCTGTTTAGATGATAAATTATATGTGGTC